TGCTGAGTCCCCTTCTCCTTTCCTGAGGGTCTGCAGATCTGTGAAGGTGTGTCCCCTGTGCACCCTGCAGTCCTGCTGAGTCCCCTTCTCCTTTTCTGGTTGCTTTAGACTTGTTCTCTCTTAGGTTTTGGAGACCTCCTCTTTGACTAATGAGCATTTCACAGTGTGTCCCTTAGTTTCCAAAGTCGTCTTTCTGTTGTTAGTTTTTTTCTTATTCTCTGGTGGTCAGAAAACCCATACTCTGTGATTTGAGAGCTTCTGAATCTGTTGAGCAGAACTTTGTGTTGATGTGTGCTTTGCTGTTGCCTGACAAGAATGTGGACCTGCATGCCTTCCCCCGGCTGATGTGTTGACTTCTTCTCTGCCCTTGAGGACCTTGTTCTGTTGTTGGTGAGAGGGCCGTGGAACTCTCCTGGATAACTGTGGCTCTGCTTGGCCCTCCTTCCGTTTCTCCCGTGCTTGTGGCTCTCTAGTGTGCTGCATATGCACGTGGCAGGGCCTGCAACTGCACTTTCCATCGCTACATCTGTGGCCCCTGCCTCTCTGAAGTCAGCCTGTCCTCAGGCCAGGCCCCTGCTTCCCAGTATGCACAGGCAGGAGGCAGGCTCTCCCCTCACTTCTGGCCTGCCCTCTAAGCTACCTGAGTGAATTTATTGCAGACACCGGGGAGTTGTGTCCTGTTTCGAATCCATCCGTGCAGTCTCTGCCCTGGGCTTGGTGTGTTTGGGCCATTTATATTTAATGTCGTACTTTACCTATTAGAGATCACGTCCAGCATCCCAGCGTTCATTCTCCCTTTTCTCTGCTTTCAGCTTCTCTTTCCTTTTTGAGACTTCTGATGTGTGTAGAACTTGGGCCTTGATCTCTGGGAGTGTGTTTGGTGGCTTTGTTGGTTGCTGGTGTCACCTTGTGGCAGGGGAAGCCTTGGTGTTGGGCCTCCCTGCTCGTGGTGCGCTCGTCCAGAGCCCGAGGCCCGCGGCGCCCTGCGGTGGTCCACTCTGTCCTGCCTGCTGTCTCTCCTCCCTTCTGTCTTCCCCTGTCTGTTTAGACAGCTTCTGCCACCGTCTGCGAGAGGCCTGCTGGTCGTCTGAGTCTGTCCTGGTTTCTCTCCTGGTCCTGTGCCTCTCCGGCTGCTCTGCCAAGGCCATCTGCTTCTCTGTTGGTCTCCAGTGCGGGTCTTGCTGCCCGTGAGGCTGTTCACGGTGTCTGCTTGGAAGGCCGTCGCAGAGCTTGCAGCACCGCCGTCTGGGTTGGCCTGCAGTGGCCCTCACTGGGCGGGAGGCCTGGTGGCTGTGAGTGCTGCGAGTGGGGACTGGCTCCATGGCAGTTCCCGCAGAAGCAGTGGGGTTTGCAGCTGGCACAGCCAGGCCCTGTGACACCGGGCCCCCCCCACCGCCTGGGCTGGGAGCCGCTGCTCCCCATAGTCCCTTGAAGCCCTGGGGGCAGCGTCCTCTCCTCGGGGTCTCTGATGCCCCCCAGTGTGGAGGGGCATGGGAGCCTTCTCACCACCCGCTGGGGTGAGTCCAGACCCCTGTGTGGCCACTGCCGACTTTTGGGGTTGTCACACTCGCTCTGGGGCCCTCCTTCAACCTCGTGTGGGCAGGTGGGCTGGCAGGAGCAGAGGCTCCTGGGGAGTCTCCCCGTTGCCGGCTGCCCCTCCTGGTCCTTCGGGCCTTCTTCCCCGTCAGTCACATCTCGAGGTTGCTGCTTCCACAGTTCCAGATACGTGAGGCAGAGACCAACCCAGCGGCCTGCCGTCACGTGGCGGAGGCCTGGTGGTGGGCTCCTTCCCCACCCGTCCACCTACTTGCTCTGACGGTCTGCGGAGTCCTGGGGTTTGGGGACAGGGACAGGGAGAGGTGACCTCTTGGGAGCCGAGTTCTCACCGACTCTCTTAATAGTGCCCGCCCTAGAGGGCGCTGGAGCCCCACCTGCTGGTGCTGAGAACCCTCTGCCTTCTAGACCCCAGCACCTGGGTCGGTCTGGTCCCTCCCTAGTGTCCCAGGGAGGGGGAGGAGATACTTGTGCAGCTGGCCTGGCTCTTCCCAGTTGTTGCCGTGCAACTCCTGCCTCTGAGCTGGAGCCGGGGCATGCAGAGGGGGCAGCAGGCGGCCTGCTGCCCTGGACAGCCTGGCCGGGCTCTGCTGAGGGAAAGCCTGTGTCGCCGGTGTTTTCCGAGGTCTCGGGGTAGCTCTGGAACCCAGCCCCCGGCACCAGAGCCTGGGGAGCAGCCTGGGGAGGCCACGCGTGGGCAGGACGCACGCCAGGGGCTCTCTGGGGAGACTCACCAGTGGGCAGTGGGCATCCTGCGACCCGCTCCAGCCCGAGTGCGAGTTCTGGAGCAGCCCTGGCGGGCTGGGGAGCCAGGAGCAGGCGCCCCGACGGGGCCGCGAGGCCTGCGCGGGGCCGGCACCCTCACCCACCCTCTCTGCTCTAGTTCCTCATCTACTGTGTGTACTTCCTGGTGCTGTCTGTCATCTACTTCTTGGGAGCCGGGCTGGACGGTCTGCGGCACTGCCAGCGGGACCGCCACCAGCCCCTGCCCCTGGCACAGGAGCTGAGGAGCCCCTCGGAGGAGAAGCCCGTGCGGCTGCCGAGTGTGGAACAGGGCCTGGGCGGCCTTCAGCCCTCGGCCCCACCACTGCCCCTGGAGGACAGCGCAGAAGACGGCCTTGGGACCTTGGGGCCTGGGGCCAAGGCCTGACACGGCCTCACCTCCCCCAGCAGGTTCCACACTCTGTCCTGACAGCCCGGCCTGACGGGCCGACGAGCCCCAGCACCGTCAGACTCCCCCTCGCGGAGGGCGGGCCTTGTGTGGGTGCCCCCTTGCAGTGCCTGGCGTGGGGGGGTGCCTCCTCGGGCCTTAGCACTGGGGGCCTCGGACCCCCACCCCTCAGCCCTGCTCCACTCTGGTGGTAGCCAGAGTGTGCCAGGGACACTCAGGGCAGCTGCCTGGATGTGGCCCACACCTCGGGCGACTGTGGACTGGGCTGGGCTTGCCTGCTGAGGGGCCCGTGGTGGGGTCCCCGGGGTCTACCAGGCCTCCCTGCCTGCACCCCCTGGGGAGGCTGGAGGCAGATGCTGTGTCCCCAGGGGCTGGCATGCTGGCCCCACGGGCCTGGGGCTCTCATTTACTGTGACACTTCCCCACATCCTAGGTGCTTGCATTGTGGACGATGCTGTTTTTATATCTGTAAACTGAGGAACCGTTTGGCTTCTCCGTTGTGTGCGAGAAGCTGGTCTCAGGGGTGTGACAGAAAACCCATCAGATGGAGTGGTGGCTTGGGGCCCTCAGAGCCAGTCCTTCACCAAGGCTTCAGCCCAGGGCCTTTAGTTCTTTCCTCTGTTCCCGGAGTGACCTGAGATCAGGGCGGCTTGGAGCTGGTCATACGCTTTGGACAGTCAGAGAGGACTATGGACGTGCAACCTTGATGTCAACTGGGCTTGTTGGGAGCAGTAGGACCTTCTGGAGAGGTCTGCCTTCCTGGGGAGGTCTGTGTGCCAGTGGCCTCTGGGTCCGAGCCGGTTGTGTGTCCCTCTGTGACAGGAGGGTCTTTTGTGAACACTTTACCCAAATAAACCTGGAACCTGAGTGTGAGGGTGCTGACCCCAGGCCCTGGCAGCCAGGGACCCACCAAGGCCAACAGGTTAAGTGGGCACCTTGGGGGACGCAGGGTCCAGGAGGTGGCATGTGAAGGTGGCCAGGCCCGAGCTGAGAGTGTTCAGGGCGGTGGGCCCAGGCAAATCCACACAGGAAGGGCAGCCCTGTGCCATAGGCCAGGCTGTGGAGGGGACAAGAGCGTGACACCCCGTCGCCCTGTGCTGGGCCACTGCAGCAATGCAGGCTCCGTGGGCACCCACAAAGGAGCCCTGGCCTGTAGCTGGCCGCTGCACTTGGCCACACAGGCTGTGAGCACTCGAGTTTCTCTGCCGCTCCTGGGCGCCCTGCTGGCTGCCAGGGGAGGGACAGAAACACTGTCCCTGGGGTCAGGTCCTGCCAGGACCCAGCACTTGAGTTCACACAGACCTGAGGCATGGTTTTGAGGTCAGCCTGGGCACTGCTGGCTGCCAGGGGGCCCCACCAGAAGAGGGTGCCCGCAGTGTGTGTCATGCGTCTGTGCACATCTGCACACCAGATGCCTCTTCACGTGCTCTGACACCCAAGCACGCTGTGTGTGCCAGCAGGGGGACACCCAGGGACAGAGGGCTCACTCTGCAGGGCTCTGCTCTTCTCACGTGGGGAAACTGCTCACAAACATGGTCTCCGTGGAAGGGCATTTTATTTGGTGCCTATTTGAAATGGCTTCGAAACACACAGGTGCAGAACCAGCCCCCCAGTTTTCTCCCAGTCCTCAGACAGCAGACCCCGAGGTAGGGGTGTGTTGGCACTGTGGCTGTGGGCAGCCCAGCGTGGCCCTGAGCGCACACTGCCAGACTCCTGGACTTCCGAGCATAGCGGAGCACTGGGACAGCCGCAGCCTGACTTGTGAGCCCCACAGAACTCCTGCTCCGACTTGGCTGGGGTCAGGTTCCAATCAGATCTGCTGTGGTCTTGGGTCACCTGGGAGGCCAGCCAGGGAGAGGCCTGAAGGACCCCACGTCGGCCGGCTCTGGGGAAAGCCGCAGACACACCAAGTCCGGCCACACTCCTGGCCCTGCACAGTGTTAGGAACATGGCCCGACCTGGGGTGGCCGTGGGCCCTGAGCTTGGACTCTGCTCCAGTGGGGGCACTGTGGTTGCTGTAGAGTGCAGGAAGCCGAGGAGAGGTGGCCCTTGCCCCGTGCCTGGCGGTCCTGTTCACCACCTGAGCAAGCCCATGCCTGTCTGCCTCTGGCACAGCCTGAGTGGGAGGGGGGGCCCCAGGTGCCCTGCAGACCAGGTGTCAGCACCCGACATCTTGCTGGTCTGCCAGTGGGACTGGGTCCTGTGTACAGCCAAGGTGGAGGCAGGAGAGTGGCAGGGGGCCCTTCCCAGTGCCCGGGAGCTCAGGAGCCTGCAGGTGGGGTAAGCACAGGTCTCTGGGCTGGAAGTCCTGCGTCAGCCTCTTGCTGAAATCCAGCTGAGGTCTGATTTGGGCCCTGACAGACTGGCCAGCATAGGCCATCAGGGGAGTGGCGGGAAGCCTTGGCATCGGGCTTTCTGTTGTAAACTTTCAGAAAACTACTCTCTTTGGCTTCCTTTTATTTCTGGAGGATTACATGAAATGTGGACTGTGTAGAAATGTCCCAGCCAGGTCCTGGGGGTTGGCTAGGTGCTCCCTGCCCTGTGCCTGTCCTGAGAGCCCGGCTCCATGCACGTCCGAGCCAGCAGAGACCCTATTAGGAGGAGGAGGTCATGAAACTGTTCTCGATGCAGAGGACCACATAGGCGTTGCGGCAGCTTGTGGCTTCCTGTTCCAGCAGTCTGCCCGCCAGCAGTGGGGATGCCTGGCCCATGGCTCCGGCAGCCTCTGTCCGCCACGCCTCACAGTAGCTCTCCGTCAGCCTGCGCCCACTGGGGTCTGAGCCATGCCATACACTCTTCTGGGGCCTGCAAGATGCACCTGGCTGTCAGTCACACCCACACCCACCCCTCGGCAAGCAGAGACCCCTGCCCCCAGGGGAGGAAAGGTGAAGGCCAGCAGCTAGCTGGCCCTGGGCAGAGGGAGGCTGCGAGGTCCATGCTTTCCTTAGCTCCACTTCCTGGGTCCACCAGCTGCAGAAGGGGTAGGTGTTGGGGCAGAGTCTGGACCAGGCAACCTCAGGGCCAGTCTTGACCAGCTGGGTGGACCTGGCTCCCGGCAACCCTCACTGACAAAGGGAGCCAGGTGCTGCCTGGCTAGGAGCACCTCCACCTACAGGGCGTCCTGTTCCACAGTCCCACCCGTGGCTCTCAGGCTGGGTGCTTCTCAGAGCGGATGGCCAGGATCTGGGCACCTCCAGGAACACACTGGCCCAGAAGACACCCTAACCACCCTTTCAAAGGCAGGAGCACTGGCGGAACATGCTGTTATAGCGGCAGGTGGAGGGGTGCTAGGCGTGAAGCCATTTGGGGGACAGTGGTCATTTCCATCAGTATACAAGCACACACAGCTGACCTGGGACTTTGCCTTGGGCAGTGATTCTCAGGATCATTAGTTCCCTGTGGTGTTCACATTGGGGGCACAGACTGGCCAAGTTACGGACGGTGAGTGTGGAGCTGTCCACCGTGGACAGGGGGCACTTAAGCAGGGATCTCTCCTGCTCCTCTGGGTCTCGTGATCATGCATGGGGCAGGGTAGGGCAGGCCAGAGGCTGGGCTCCGTGTTGGGGGCCAGGTGTACACATCTCTCCTCTAGGGCTCTCCCCATGCTGCCATCCCGTGCACAGGGGACCTACCAGGCAGGGTGCCTCAGGACGTCCCTGCCATCGAAAGAGAAGATGCGGGCCCCGGGCTTCAGCTGGCCCCCGGAGCCGGAAAACAGGGCCTCCCAGCTGGGAGCCAGTACTTCATCCTGTAGAGGGAAGTTGGCAGGGGCTTCCTCAATCTCTGGTCATGCCCAGCCAGTGTCAAGCACCAGGGAGCCCAGCCCCATCCAGGTGCCTCAGCAGACCCTCACCACCCTTTAGCCACACGCTGGGACCCTAGACTAAGGCCGAGGGGTCTCTTCCTCATGCCGGCCTCCTGCTCCCAGCCACTCTCCCCAGTCTTGGGCCTGGGGTCTGCACATCCACCGTCAGTGGTCCTGAGAGACTCCAGAGCCATGGAAGGAAGCCACGTGAGGGGTACCGTGGCAGGGCTGCTGGGCTGGGTGGCACAGATGTATTAGGGCATTTCCCAACCTGGCGGGTGTGTGAGGACCTGTCACTTGTGAGCATGCCCAAGGCTTCCTGGAAACATCGGGTTGCCCTCCCGCACCCACCGTGCCTGCCCGGGAGTCAGCCTCCAGGCCCCTTGGAGGAAGCCTCTGCCGGGGAAGGACCCTCAGAGCAAGCCCCAGCCCAGGCCTGGGTCCATCTGGGGACACCCTCGCGAGCCCAGGGCCCCACAGGACATGTTCCGCTCACCTTGAGGTTGACGATGGGAATGGTCCCACGGTCAGCACGGCGCACGATGCTGTAGAGGTCCTGCAGCCGCGAGGACAAGAAGGCACGGAAGGTGCCAGCCAGCCCCACAGCTCGGGCCTGCTGGAAGCACTGGAAGTCGGCCCCTCGGATGCCGCGCATGCCGCCCGAGAGTGGGCTGTTGAGCGCGACCAGGTGGAGCTGCAGGGAGAGGCTGACACTGCATCCCAGATGACCTCAGAGGCCCTGGGGACAGCACTGAACCCCTGCACACCTACAGTACCACATGGACAGGCACGGAAGGCCAAGCCCCAAGTGCCTTCTGATGGGTGCCAGGGGACAGCCAGACCACCAGCCAGGGCTGCAGAGGCAGGTGCTGTGGTCCCAGGAAACACCCCCACATGGACCCTGATGTCCTTCCCCATGAGCTCTGCTTGACTGGGCCAACGGGGCTGTGTGAGCTCCTCTGCCACCTGGAGCCTCTAGGACCTCAAGGGGACTGACAGCCACTTGGCCATGAGAGGACGAGCCTCAGGCTGGACAGTGGCCACCCTGTGTGGCACTGCCTAGTCAGAAGCCCACCTGCAGTGCAGCTGTGGCTGCCAACCCCCTTTACACTGCCCTGAGGACTAAGGGGCCAGGTGGACAAGTACCCACTTTGGGGTCACTCACCACCGGCTGGAAGTCCTGATGGGTGTGGGCAGGTGAGGCTGTGGGGCGGGCTGGCCGGAGATGCACATAGGAGCCGTGGTGGTGCGGAGCTCCGGGGTAGGGCTGGGGATCGGGGAGGCGCTGGGGGCTGGCCAGGGTGTCGTCTGCTCTCCAGGGGCGCACGGTGGAGTAGGAGTGCTCCCTCCGGGGATATGAGTTGCCCTCGTGCAGCTGCACCACTGGGGGCTGGCGGACAGCCACTTCATTGTCCTGCAGGTCCAGGTGCAGGTCTGTGCAGCGGGCTCCCACACACCAGGACCCTCCTCCCCCTGCATGTCCTTTTGTGCACTTGGAGGGGGTGTGGCTTCAAGATGACAGGCAGGGAGCTCCACCCAGACCCTGGGGGACCCTGGGTATAGGGGCAGGAGGGGTGGGAGCCCAGCCAGCTCTGGATACTTGAGTCATTGGACTTGCTCTCTGCTCAGCCTGACGCACTGCATAGCATACGGCCTCGTTCCTGAGCCACCCCTTGTCCACCCACCCAGCTGCCTACCATCCAGGTACCAATGGTCCACCCATCCACCACCCACCTGTACATTTCTCTATCCACCTACCCACTCATCCATCCACCTAGCTACCTGTCCATTCATCCATTTACCTATCCACCTGTCCATTCATCTGTATATCCATCCATCCACCCACCAACCCACCTGTCTGTCCATCCATTCATCCATCTATCCGTCCATCCATCTACCAATCCTCCTGTCCATCCATCTACCAACCCACCTGTCCATCTATCTGTATGTCCATCCATCTATTCACCCATGCATCCACCAACCACCTGTCCATCCACCCACCCACCAACCCACCTGTCCATCCATCTATCCACCTATCCACCTGTCCATTCATCCACCAACCCACCTGTCCATCCATCTGTATGTCCATTCATCCATCTATCCGTCCATCCATCTATCAATCCTCCTGTCCACCCATCCATCCACCAACCCCCCGTCCATCTATCTGTATGTCCATCCATCCATCCACTCACCCACCAACCCACCTGTCCATACATCCATCCACCTGTCCATCCATTCACCAAGCCATCACCAGCTCACCTGTCTGTCCATCTGTATGTCCATCCATCCACCAACCCACCTGTACTTGCCCACCAACCCACCTATTCTTCTGTTCAGCCGCCCACACCCATTCGCCCTGGGGCATGCCTAGCACTGCAGGTGAGGAAAGACACAGAGGAGGACGGTGTCCCAGGGACTGCGAGGCTGAGGAGGGCAATGAGGTGCAGACACAACTGAAGCCAGCGGCAGTGTCCCTGTGGGTCTTCATCCTCTCCCCAGCAAGGACACCCTGATAGCACACATTCGGCTCCAGGATTCCAAGCACCAAGTGTGTGATTCCAGAAACATGTCAGTGCAGGCCCGGAGTCCCCTGCTGAGCCCCCAGAGTTGTGCAGAGAGAGCATCCCCTTACCGTGCTGGATGGCAGAGGGATCCGGGCCTCCAGCTGCAAGGCAACAGCAGGGTCACTCTGACACGGCCACAGCCTACCCCCTCTGCTCATCCCTCCCCCAAATGAGCCCTCCCACCAGGGCAGAGGCCACCCAGGGTGCTTCCCAGAACCAGGCACTTGTGGGCACCCGGTCCGTGTCTGCTGATAAGCCCTCAGCCTGTCCCTGGCCAGCAGGGGCCCTGGGGGGGCACCACGTGGTCTGGCTAGGCCTGGGGACAGGCAATGGAAACCCGGACACCCAGAAGTTCAGCTCAGGTGGACAGAGACTCCCAGGGATGAGGTGGGCTACTGAGGGCACAGGCTGGCTGCCCGGTCCTCACGTTTGCTACACAGGTAAGACGCACCCCCACGGCCCCAGGAGTGCCGGCTGGGCCCCTCCTGGGCCTCGTCTTCTGGGCCCAGGCTGGGTGTGTGATCCCCGATGTGTCACAGGAGCTGGGCCCTGGTGCTGGGCAGCCAAGATGTGTCCGAGGATTCCCCCACAGCGGGGTTCAGAGCACACCATGTGGACACAAAGCCGAGCCCTGTCCAGCAGGGCCGAGCCAGGGCGTGTGGCTCTCGAGGGCCCAACGCCTCTCCTGACTGATGCCTTGCCTCAAGACGGTGTGGGGCTTGCCGTCACAGATGCCCACGTGAGCTCCAGGTGCCCAGCACTAGCACACGTGACACACATAACGTCGTTTCCCTTTACCCAAAATGCTCAAAAGTAGTTTGATGAGTTTTTAAAAAGTGACAAGTGGCAGGAGCCTTGCTTGGGGACACCTGGCCCTGCTGTGGGTGCTGTTGAGGGCCCGGCCATTGCTGGGTGGGCGTGGGCTCCTCGCCTTCCTCAAGCCCCATGCCTCGCATCTCCCCAGGTTACGCCTGGCGGGCCCTCTGTGTACAGGGAGAGTGCTGCCCAGAGAACTCACCAGAACTTTCCGGAACCCGTTTCGGACCCGTACATAGAGTTCCTCCCTCTCAGCCACAAAGACGAGCCAGCCCTCGGGCAGCTCTCGTGCCCTGTCCAGCATGGTCTGGTAGGTGGCCCAGATCCTCACCTGCGGGACCCAAGCTGCATGGGTTCCTGCTGCCCAGAGGCAACTGCTGGGGCCCCGGGGGACGGGGAGGGGAGCAGGGCCTAACCTGGGTGTGGCTTGGGCTGTGTGGACTTCTGGGGGTTCCCTGGGGGAGCTGGCTGAGAGCAGCCAGGACTCTTCTTTGTGGCCACCCATGGGAGGCCCGAGGTGAGTGACCGATGTGGGGCCTAGCCCACACCAGTCCCTCTGCCACGGCCTCTGCACCCAGGGCAGGCCACCCCTCCCCGAGCGTCCCAGACTCCACCCCCACCTGCCTGGAAGCTTACCCCTGAAGAGGTGCCCATGGTTCCAGGGGGCCCTGGGGGGCCAGGTGGGCCTGGGGGGCCAGGGACACTGACAGCTACAAGAAAGAAGCCCAGGTGGCCCCACGCAGCCACGCAGGTGGCTCTGGGGGGAGCCCGACCCGACCCTGCCCAGGCCCACCTCCCCCGACTTACTCTGCCTGTGAGGACCAGGGAATGACGGGGGCCCCGGGGGGCCAGGGGGGCCTGGGGGCCCAGGAGGGCCCTGGCGCCCCTCATAGCCAATGCCAGGAGGTCCCTGAGGTCCGGGTGGGCCCGGCTGGCCCTGGATGCTCTCTCCCTTTGGACCCTGGGAAAAAACCCAAACACGCTGTGTCATGCCCTGCATAGCCAGCCAGGGGTCCCTACAGCGGGAATGGCCTCTGAGCCACAGTCACCTCCCTGCCCCCCAAGGCCCCTCGGCAATCCAGGCAGAAGCGGGCCCATGCTCCCTGGGATTCTCGGGGCAGTGGCAGGACGCAGCCATGAGATAACTGTAAGGTGTCTGAGCCCCTGTGCCCACCCTGGGAGCTGCACTATGTCCCCAAGGGGACTGCCACACCCTGGTCGCAGACAAAGACGTGGGTGGCTTGGGCCCTGAGCTCACAGGCGCTGCCTCAGCCTGGGTGGGCGTCAGCAGGCCTGGGGGGGCGTCAGCAGGCCTGGGTGGGCAGAGTTCAGCCAGCCTGGGGCCCAGTCTTACCGGAATCCCAGGGTAGCCTGGTGGGCCGGGGGGACCTGGGGGTCCAGGCACACTTGAGCTGAAGAATCCGCCGCTGGCCCCTGGCTCCCCCTTCTCTCCTTTCTGTCCAGTGTCCCCCAGGTCCCCCTTGTCTCCCTGCAGAGGGAAACGCTGCTCTGAGAGCCCTGCTGCTGGGTGGGGAGGGCAGCGGGACACTGACCCCACGAGCCACAGGGGAGGCCTCCCCCATTCCAGAGTGCCAGGGTGCCCAGGGTGCCCTCTGGGGCCCATGCCCCTCAGGGGAGTGAACACGGGTGGTGGCTTGTCTGGGCAGCACAGAAGCCAGCCTCGTCTCAGACTGACACTCAGCACTGAGGACTTGGGGACCTGCCTCGGCACAAGCCGGGGACAGGGACCCACCCTCCCGATGTGGCCAGCACAGTCACACACCTTCATCTCAGCTTCCAGGCTGAGGAAGTCCACGGGGAACTGCCCTGCAGAGGGGAGGAGAGACAGGTTGGAGACCCCTGGATGACCCTCTCGTGGAGGGGTCACCCCCCTCCACCTTCGTTTGTCCTGTGTCCGCTACAGAAAATGGGTGCAGGTTTCATTAAATTCACTCCTAATTAATTGGTTTTTAAATATTCTTGCTAACGGTTTCTTTTCAAAATCTCAATTTTAACTGCTTCAGACTCGTCGTTGCTTTTCCTAAATCGCCCTTACACCCCGTGGCTGGGTGGCCTGCTGGCGTCTGTGGGCAGACCTGCTGCGAGAAGCGCCATCCCCCTCCTGGGCCCTGGGCTCCGCCAGCTGCCAGCAGTGGCTCCTGCCGGGCTGGGGTCCTTCTGCAGAGCAGAGCGTGGCCCTGGGAGTACGGCTCCTGTGACTGTGGTGACGGCCTCTGGGGGGCAGGGAGGACCAGTCTGGCTTCTTCTCCAGGCTCAACGCCTCATCGTTCACTTGGCTTACGTGTTGCCTATGTGGGCAGGTGGCTGGACCTGGCCAGCTGGGTCCACGCAGCTCCCTGGCGTGGCCACTTGGCTTCACTCAGTCAGTGGTCCTGCCCATCCTGTGCGGGTGCAGAGGGCGCCACATCTCGCCTCAGGTTTGGGAGCCTCTGGGCCATCTGCCGTCACCGTAGCTTCTCTGGCTGACCAGTGATAGGCACCCTGGACTGACCCCATCCTCTGCACCGGCTGGGCGCTCTGCGGGCCTCTTCCTGTTCGTGCTCTTTCCTCGGTGGCCTCAGCTGCCTCAGCACAGTTACCAGTGCCCAGAACCAACCTCCCCTGTGCGCTACACCTTGTCCTTCGGTCACTGTTGGACGTGGTCAGAGTCACATCCTGCCTCGCCTGCCTGTCCCTGCTCAGACCCCAGGTGTGGTGTGCAGACGCTGGAGGGTCCAAGCTCCCACCACCTTCTCCGAGAGACGCTGTTGCTCCTGCCAGGCCTTGGGGACCATCCACCTGCATGGGCTGCTTCCCAGCTCAGAGGTGGCCCCAGCGGGGGGCAGGCCGACCAGTCCCTTCGGCCCCTGCTCTGGCGTCCATGGGCTGGCTCCCAGCAGTCATGCAGTTGCTGTACCCTCCACCCAGCCTGCCCGGTTGGTCAGGGCAGGCGCCAGCCAGGGATCCAGCAGGGAACCCTCACTCCCCTCGGGGAAGAGGGAGTGCAGGGACCCACCTGGATGACCTCATTCAGAGCTGGCCCAGTGCAGCCCCTGGACAGAAGGGCCTCTGTGCTTACCCTGGCCACGCACACTCTCTGGAACCAACTGTGGGAGGGCGGGCATCTTGGATCTAGCCTTGGGCTGCAGGTGGGCAGCTGTCTGCTCCACAGTGGTGGGATGGTGGGGAACTCTTGCTGGAACCCTGTCCCTCCCAGGTCCTAGCTGTGTGGCTGACCAGGTGTCCCCAGATCCATGGCCTGAGAAGGGGCTTCCTCCCACTAGAGCAGGGTCAGACGGCGAATGCCCTGCAGAGGGCCCAGGGCCCACCCCAGGAGGCTGCCCACACACCCTGGGCCTGGGGCCCACAGAGAATGCTCACCTGGAGGTCCAGGTGGTCCCACTTCTCCTTTGTCACCCTTTGGTCCAGAAGGTCCTGGCAGCCCTGGGGGAACAGAGACCTAGTGCCACCAAGGAAACCTGAGGGCCCCTCTACCCATGTGGGCCCCGACCTCTAGGCACTGTGTAAAAAGAGAGGTCCTAGACCAGAAAGGGGTGGCAACGGATGGGGACAGTCAGACAGGCGCTCGTGGGGAGCAGAGGTGACAGGCCCCACCCTGCAGGCCAGGAGGACCACACCACCTCCCCAGGACCACCCTGCAGGCCTTAGGGACCACACCACCTCTCCAGG